AACAGTAAAGCTGAGAAGCAGGTTTGGCTTTGCAGTGATTGCACTGATTAGCAAGAGACATGAGACTGTTCAAAACTAGGTTGCTTTCATCTGATTGTCTGCACTTCCAATGAAACGTGAATAGTACATTTGTAGCCATTGGTAGCTTGGCTTTACATACTCTTTCTATATATTTACCAGTTTTTTCAAATTTCTCCATACGAACTTCCTGTGCCCTACAAGACCAGCGTCTGTAATAGAAAGTATAGTAGTTTATTTACACATTAACATAAACATAAATATTATGGTCACAAAGCAGGAGAGCAGATTCTAAAGCCTAATTCTGTGGCATTCTATGCTAAAGCTCTAAACTTTGTTATGTTTTGTTGCGTTTTTGTTGTTCTGTTGTTTGGGTTTTTTGTTTGTTTAAATACAAATCAGCACTGGTCACCTGAAAAGTAGTATAATGGATATTGGTAAATTAATCCAAAAGTCTCAGAAAATAAAACTAAGCTACTTTTTGTTTTGTTCTGTTTTGGATTGTGTAATGATTTTGGTTAATTTCAAAGTCATATTAAGCTTGGGTCCTCTGAGGACTGTTGTAAACTGGTTTGGATTTCCTTCGGTTTTGTGGTTTTTGTTTTGTAGGTTTTGTTTGTTTGTTTTAACTCTTGTATTTTTACTTTTCCTACAGTAGCAAATTTTGGAGCTAATGAGAGGTACTCTTCAGAAAGTAGCTAATAGTAACAGATTAAGCATTTGGAACATGGTTTCTTTCTGTGTGGATCACTTACTCCTCTCTTGTTCCCAGTCTGTCATCTGGGCTTTGCTTTTCTCTTGTAATTACTGCTGATAGCCTATGAAGTTAGGGCACATGCTGGACTCTTTGAGATGCTTCATGATGTAGTGAAGACAGAAGTTTTGAAACCAATGTTTCTAATGTTTTTTGAACTATACAAGTCCTGGCATTTGCAAACTCCAGGCTCTCCTCTGTGAGTTTGAATATTCCAATGTCTTTTTTAATCTCAAAGGAATTTATCACAGTAATTCTCAACAGAAACAAAACCAAAAAGTCTTGCAGCTCTGCTGTATTTTTTAGCTTGAAGCTTACTGTGTCATTTTTTTGTATACTGTGCTGAAATTTGTAACATGATGTAGAAGGATGCTTTTGTGCTGGAGAAGAAACGTTTTAGTTGGTGAACTTCAACGACAAATAATAATCTGTGCGTATTTAGCAATTTTTTTATTTTAATTTTTTTTAACAAGTTCCCCACCTCCTTTTCTGCTTCATCTCTCCCTCCTGCCATTCCCCATATACCCATCCTGTTTTTCTTGACTGAAGAGTTTGCTGCCAGGAGAAACAATGTTATGGTAATGATGTTGGTTTGCAAGTGACTTTCAGTTTATTGGCTTCATTAATACATGTCCTAAGGAGAGAATGACGACTGCTGTTACTGGGGTCATAATGCAGAAGCCAGATGGCATTTTCAGAAGCTTGCACGGCACTCCCTTCCTATGCAAAAGCAGAGTCACATTACACTACTACACTGGAGTGGGCAGGGCTGCTTTGGCTTTGTTCAGTCACAGTTATGTGACTGCTGGAATTAGCATTAAGAGATTTATGATGCCTCTCAGATGTTGAGTCAATTCCATGACTCAACAGAGCTACAGAGGTTGTCAAAAGCAGGCTGGCATTCTCAGCCTTCTTAAGTGCATCATCATTCTTGTGATGAAATGAGTTCTTACCCACATCATATATCACCTGTTAAGCTACTATCCATTTTAGGTTTAAGTGCAAATCAAGACAGCTCTTTGGAAGCTTGAAGTGTCAGCACAAGGCATTTGGTAGTACGAGCATTTGAAAGTGGATGTGAAAAATATTCCAAAGTCTTTTTTCCAAAAAAAGTGTGGTTTTTGTTGTTTTTTTTTTTCTTTCTGAAATACCTGAGATCTTAAGTAATTACTGTGTATCTATCATATCTAAAGCAAATCACTTTTGTGAATTACTTTGATCTTACAATATAGTCACAGTGGCTGTAATGATACTCAGTGTGGTCTGTGTATGATGCTTTGGAGAGGCTTAATGTCTGTCATATACACGGTTCTGCCACTGCTGGATTGATGATAATGGCAATTCTGCTCAGGAATTTTGCATGTGTAGTGCTCTTCTGAATATGAAGTCATCATAAACTGATTGCTTAACTGGCTGATATCATTGCAAAGCCGCTCTCCATAATCTTTGAGAAGTCGTGGAGATCGGGAGACATCTCTGAAGACTGGAGGAAGGCTGATGTCACCCCCATCTGTAAGAAGGGTCCAAAGGAGGACCTAGGTAATTATAGACCCATTAGCCTGGGAAAGTCATGGAGCAAATCCTCCTGGGGACAGCTACACGTCAATTGAAACATGTTGAGAAAAGCCAACATGGATTTACCAGGGGCAGATCAAACCTGATCACCTTCTGTGACAAAGTAACCTGCTCGGTTGATGCAGGGCAAGTGGTGGACATTGTCTACCTGGATGTCTTTGAGGTTTTTTATATAGTCCCCCACAGCCTCCTCCTGGAGAAACTGTCTAGTTACAACCTTGACAAGGGATCTGTGCAGTGAGTGGTGAACTGGCTGACAGACTGTACCCAGAGGGTGAGAGTAAATAGTTCCTCCTCAAACTGGCAACTGGTCACAAGTGGGGTCCCCCAGGGATTGATATTGGGCCCAATGCTATTTAATATCTTTGTAAGTGACCTGGATGTTGGGATCAAGAGCACCCTGATGAAGTTTGCTGATGAAACTAAGGTGAGTGGAGAGATTGACACTCCAGAAGGGAGAGCCATGCTCCAGGATGACCAGGACAGGCTGGTCAGGTGGGCTAGCAGGAACCTTATGAAATTCAGTGGGGATAAGTGTAGGGTCCTGCACCTGGGAACATATAACCCAGGAGTGCAGTTCAGACTGGGATCCACTTGGCTGGAGAGCAGCCCTGTGGAAAGGGACCTGGGGGTCTTGGTGGATAACAGGCTCAACATGAGTGAACAGTGTGCTGTGGTGGCAAAGAAAGCCAACAGGATGCTGGGCTGCATCAACAAGAGTATCACCAGCAGAGATAAAGAAGTCATCATCCTGTCATCCTGCTCTGCTCAGTTCTTGTCAGACCACACCTAGAGTACTGCATTCAGTTCTGGTCTCCACTATACAAAAAGGATGCGGACAGGCTGGAGAAGGTCCAGAGAAGGACTTTTTTCAATCAGGTTTTTTTCAATTAAGGTTTCTTTCATAAATTTAAAGAGGTATGGAAGTGGTTTTCACATGACCAGGCTTTTTTAACATGGATTAGCATGCAATTAAAATTTTAGCTGCTGTATGTGGTTGTATCTCCTGCTGTGTGGCCTGATTTTCACTGGGTCCATTTACCTGTTGGAGGACAGGAGCACCAAATGCTTTCAGATAGGCATCTGATTTGTTTAACTGATGACTATACAGTCTTATTTGGATTTGCTGATCATCAGACACTCATTTTGGTTTTCAATTTATGTGCCATTGCTTGTATCTATTTTTAGAATGGTGGTGTTTATCAGAATGGCTTAAAGGCATCAGAAGTTGGTTTTTAACATGTTTTAAAGTAGCAAATCTCAGGATAAAGAATAGGTAGTATTCCGAAGTCACATAGTAGTTCGGCTGCAGAAGCAGAGCTTCATTGATTCCTCCCTCCCTCTCTCTCACCTCCCCTCCACTTGCTTTTCCCTTTTTGTCTCTCCTCTCCCTACTTCTCCAGGTGTATCCTTACCTCTTTTTGATTTCTTCCCTAACTGAAAAAAACTTTCATACTGTCTCAGATTCATCGCTACTTTTCCACTGCTTTCAACCATCATTTGTAAATCCACAAGCAGGTATTCTAAGATGCAGGACTACATCTTGAGGATGGGGAGGTACGAGAGCCCCCTTCTTTCCTGTTTCTGGGAGCAGATGGAGCTGTCTGGAAGAAAAAAAAGCATCTTTAAGTGCTTTCAGTTACCATATTTCTTCCTTTGCAAAGGAAAATTAGTTACATCTGCATCAAGTTCCTGTCACAGTCTTCACTGATTAATCCCAGTGGGACAGCCAGTACACCTTCTGGCTCTCCACACATTTACATTGCTCTGTTAGAGTATATATAGATGTATGGATGCTAAAAAGCATTGGCGGTGATGCAGGAAGTTTTGTTTCCTCTTATAATGTGTTTTTAAAAGGATGCTGTGCTTGGTTAGATGAAGGCAACATCTGCAGTAGGCTTCTTGAGGCAGATGGTAGACCAGAGGTTAAAATATGTTTAATTTCTAAGAGAAGAAGAAACAAGTAAGCTGAATCAAAATCACTATCACTTCTTTTTCTTCGCTGTATTTACTAAGAAATTTAGTTATAATACTTTTTGCAGTTTTATGTCTGCCTCTCCATGTATATTGCAGGTCATGGTGTACAGTAGTTTAACTGTAAAAATGGGCTTGTGGTAGCTATAGTAATTTAGTTGCAGTTTAATAACATAGGTTTTAGTTAAAAACTTTAATTGCATAAGATCTAAAACAGTACAAAGAGTTTGAATTTCACTGAGCTGGGGAAGGTTTCTGCTATCTTTTATTTCAAAGAGGAAAGAGACATCATAGCTAAGGCTGAGTCTGTGTAATTTCTGAGCAGGAAACAATTTCTAGTGCATTTGCAAATGCTTCACTGTGTGAAAAGCATGAGGGAACAGTAGTCAATAAGCTACCTTCAGTGCTACAAAAACATGCAGAAAAAGTAGTGCTAGTAGTTCTAAGTCCTGATTCACAGTCAAGGATGACTTTCAAACTCCCTTTCTCACACTTAAGAAAGCTGGATCTTTTATACTGATGTTAATAGGGTCGCAGGTTTTCCCTTCTGCATCTCTCTTCAGAGTCACACAGAGACTGTGTGCTCTGTCCTAGTGCTTAGGAGTACTAATATGAATAAGCCTTTCCTTCCTTAGTTTAGAGAACTAAGATGTTTGGACTTTTCTTGCTGATATTTCAGGATATCCAAGCTGAGATTGATGCCCACAGTGACATCTTTAAAAGCATCGATGGGAACAGACAAAAGATGGTGAAAGCCTTGGGAAACTCTGAGGAAGCTGCCCTGCTCCAGCACCGCCTCGATGACATGAACCACCGCTGGAATGACCTGAGGGCAAAGTCAACTAACATCAGGTAATGAAAATGTCAAGACATGAACAGGGTACAGTTGCTGTCTTCTAAAAAGCTTGAGAAATATGACCACAGCATTTAAGTGAAATCTCCATTTTCTCCTGTAAAGGACCCCCGAATCCAAATATAAAAACTTGTTGCACTTGCTCACCGTGCAGGCGTAACTGCCTTTTCTTCTCTCTCCAGACTGTGTAGTTAGTATCCACACTAAATTTTCAGAAAGTATGTTGAATCTTTCCTTAGTGTAAATTGATATCAGTGTCAGTGACATAATTTTGTGAATCTACAATTACTGTGATGAGAAATCAGTGTTTTGTTGTAGCTTTTGTTTTTACCACTGAAATGAATAATTTTTTAAGGCTTGCATCTTAAGTGTCGTGATCCATATTGGTAGTAACATTCTTTTATTGCTGCTATTCCATTAAGAAATATTTTAAAATAGATATTGAACAAGGAATGCCTTTTGCAATTTTTGACCCTACCAATGCCAGACGCTTTCACTGTGTAGTCATTGTTACATTTTTTCTGTCATTTTGACAGCTGATATTTCCATATTTGTAAATGTGAATAAAATTCCTCATTAAAATGAAATGCATAGAAAAGAATTTCTAGAGCTTTTAATTCCCACTGTTTGCTTGTTCATTAAGAGAAACTATTCTTTTAATAGAACAGAACAATGTTAAGCATTCATTTGAATTTTTCAAGGGCTAGAAGAATTAATTGATATTGGAATGCAGGCACAAGAGCTTGAAAGAGTGAGATAGATAGCAGAATATGCCATTTACTTTCCATCTCCACTCATTGCATCGCCAACACACTGAACAGTTAAGTGAAACAGGTAGATCAGCTCCATGAAAGCCCATAGGCAGGGCATGAACCAGACAAACCAAGCTATTCAGTGTGGGGGTTTGCAGAGGCTGGCCACATCACACAAGTAATTTGATGCAAGAGCTACTAAACCTGAGCTGTCATGAGCTCTACTCACAAGTCAACATGAGAGAAAGGTTAAAACATGCTCATAACATAACAACAGCAACTGTGGAGTTCTTGCAAGAACAATTCAGTTGCTTGGCCCATGGTCTTTGAGTCATTTACCCTGGCCCAGCTGTGAGTTCCGAGTTCCAAGGCATTAGTACAACGGTTGTGCAGTGAATGCTTAGAAAAGGGTGAATACCTGCTATTCTGAATACAGACCCATCTTTTAACTTCTGTGTAGATTAGCATGTGCATCCCACTGGGCAGCATTAATGTTTGCATTGTTTGTGTAACTCTGCTGATACCTGCAATGCTGCAGAGCTACAAGTAAAAGACAGGCGAGGAAGAGAATACTGTAGCAAACATAATACAAATAAATTACCTTTCAAATTAACCTTTTAAATTTCAGTTGCCACTGGACATAGCATTTGTAAGCATTTGTATTTGGCTCTGTTCAATTGCAATTCACTTTTCCAACTCATGCAAGAGTGCTGAAAGCCTTCATAGGGAAACAAAGCATAGCCCTGATTCAAAGTCATTGTGTTGATGTAGCTGTTTGCCTTCATTTTCTGCTTTCTTGGTGTACCGTATTTCAAGGATGCATTGGAAAGCAAAACTGAATGGATGAGTCTTGTGAAAACAGCATATAACTGTGTTAGACGCTTGAACTGATGATTGAAAAGTCTGATTATTTGGGTATGGGTTTTAGCTTGGGATAGTGTTTCCAGATTAAGGTTTCTGTGATTTTTTTTTTAGAGTATTTACAGCTATGTGTACACTTTGATAATGTTGATTTTCAGTTGCTGAAAGTATGCTCCCCTTTAGGGATAGTATGGGTTTTTTGTCATCACTTCAGTCCTCAGAGCTGATGGTGCTAGTTAACTGTGTTGGCATCACTTCTCTGCTACTGTAACTAAAGGGAGTTCCAAACTGGAAAAGCAGTGCTTTTGAGACATATTTTTAAATGCATGGAAAGTACTTAAAACTGTACTTCTTGTGACTGTGACATTACCTTAGAAGACTATACCTCTCCTTGAAATTACTTGTAGACTCAGTCACTCTTCTTTCTTTTTCTGTCTTTATTATCTCATTCCCAGGAAAAATACAAACCTGCAAGTTTGTGCTGGTGTGCCTTTTAAAGCCAAATGTTTAGGAGAGAATCTTTCCTCTTGGGTCAGGCGGTGTGAAGGTGTTAGTTTGTGGGGGAGGATAGAAGTAAAGGTATGGGAGAAACAGAAAGATTCTCTATATTTAGACCACCCACCAATCTTTTTCTTTCATGTGTTGCCTTGTTTCTCAGCAGGGAGTGTTACCTCCATAGCAGATGCAAAAGCTAAGGAGGTCTCCAGCTGTGTAGAGAGCCTCTCAGGGTCAACAGTAGGGGAATTATGTCAGAGTTCCTGCTCTTCTGCATGGTTTTATTTGGCCTGGGTGGAGCGGGAGTGCTCTCAGCCTGGTCAGCTGTGTAGAAGCATCTGTGTTTTTCAGGGTTATCCAGGATTCCCCTAGGAGTGCTTCTGAATACCAGGTGGTTGATACTGGGCAATATTGCTCCAACGAGTATTCAAAACAGAATGATCATCTGTAACTGACTTGTTTTTTATCAGAGCTGATTCTTAAGCCACCACCAGATCTGGTGAATCCCTGGAAATTGCCAAGTCATTTGTCACATGAGCACAAACACCTGAAGTTTTGTTTGCAGGTGGTGTATTGGTAGAAGTACCAGTTTTAAAACAAAGGCCAGAAATCCTGTCTTTGAAAGCAAAGAAGCCCAAGAAACATTTCAGAATCTCAACATAGTTTGTAGGCTCTCTTTGATAATGTCAGTATGACAAATGTAAACGTGATGCTAACATTTCACACTGAAGAGCAACTTGGAGCATAGATCAGTCGCCTTGCTCCTGTCCAATATTTACTTTGAGTGGGGCTAACTGAATGTGTGTGTCTCTACCCCCCAGGAGAATGGCATGCTTGTGTCCATTCTTCAGCTGCTGCTGAAACTCACTTTTATTTTCAATATTGCTTCTGATAAGAATAAGAGTAACATTCAGGAAAACAGAGATTGATGTGATATATTTTCTCCTGTTTATTTTTTCCCTTTAATGTCTTCCTGACCTTTCAAGGCAGAGATTAGCTCATTTTGTGTTCAATGAATTTTCAAGTCCCTGTTAGCGTACTCCGTTTCCTCCCCACCCCTTACTGCTTTACCCCCACAAGTTTAGCTTGCATTTAACTGGTCTGAAATGAATCCCTAACACAGAATGACTGCAGTAAAAGAGGGTAGCTGGTCTTTTAGAGATTTCCCTGCAGCTATGTAGGGAGACACCATCAAGTCAAGGCATTTTTGAAAATTTTGGAAAAGGATATTGTGGAATCCAGGGTTTTTGACATTTAATCTGAGGGGCACATTCACTGTGTTAATTCTCTAGTAACTTATCACTGACTAAATATGATGTACTAAATAATCTGTGCCACTGATATGTTCCATAGCACAGGCAATTTATTGTTGATCCCTGCTAGGAGAAGTTGTTGCTTTCACTGCTGAAGAGTCAAGATTCTGGCATGGAAGAATTCAGTTTTGCAGTGCTTTAGCTCACAAAGTAACTTTGTGCACTGTGGTGCTGGAGTCACAAAAAACCCAGCATTTGTTTATGTTGCTTAGACCTGCAGTGTTCAAGGTTTTAGATAAGTTCAAATATCAGATATATATATTTGTCTGCTTTCACTCATTTTTTTCCTCTATTTATGTTTATTTGGTGTGCAAAATACTTTGAAGTAGAGACATTTTTAAAATGAAGCTGCTTTGCAGTTAAACACTTCAAACATTCCTATCTTAATGATGGAGGAATTTTATTTACTTACTGTATCCCCATGCTGGTTTTGCCATTCAGGACTTTAAAGATGCTTTAATGTTGTTTCACAGGGCTCACTTGGAGGCCAGTGCAGAGAAATGGAACAGATTGCTGACATCCCTGGAAGAGCTGATCAAATGGCTGAATACAAAAGATGAAGAACTAAAAAAGCAAATGCCCATTGGAGGGGATGTTCCAACCTTACAGCAACAGTACGACCACTGCAAAGTAAGTTGCTTATGTTTCATCCATAAATACAGTACTGTGAATAACAGAATGGAGCAAATTTGAGTACAGGAGAAATTATGTCATAGTGACAAATTTCTAGAAAAAAACTCTAGGTCTCCACCACTTTTGCTTCTGCAGCTTGCCCAGTAAAGTACAACTGAGATACTCTTTATTTAATTTAATCTAAGAGAATTCTGATACATATGTTCATTTCAAACAGTGTTGTTTTTTAATGTTTCCTGATGTTTGTTGATTCCTACTGGGTAGAACTGCTGTCCTACTGTAAGTAAAATTAGAGAAGGCATGCAAAAGTAAGAACTGAACAAGAACTGTGGAAGCAATGTCTTATATAAATTTAGTAAAATTATGTAAACTGGCTTCCTAAATGTTAATAAATTGAACAGTAGTAGCAGCCCTCTGACCGGTACAGATTTATACTGCAAAGATGACTCAAAAATGTCTTTGAGAACTAAAACTTCCCTGTGCTTGTACTGTTGTAACTATAAAGTGCTATTCTAGGACTCTGATTTTCCTAGTTTTGTTCTACTATGTTACCCTCTGCCAACACAACACTGATGTCTTTTTGCTGTGGCATTTAGTGAGGGCAAAATTGAATTTGGGAAAACACTTAATGATGCAAAAATACTTAGATTGCTGTGATGAATTAAAGTAAAAGTAGCCTGATGTGAGCAGCACTTGTAAGACTTAACTCAAAAATAGAAGAGCTTAAGAAAACCTGCATATGTTTTTCCTTAATTTAGTCTTTTAAAGTGAAGTTATTAGCATACAGTGAGGATCTGTGTTTCTTGAGAGTTCATCTCTTCCTGTTCTTAACCACTTAAATCATCATACTCTGTTTGTAGGCACATCTGCTGTGAATGTTTTCTAATGATCAAATGGTGATAACTTGTGCCAAAGAGCAGTAGGAAGCTGGAACAGATTCAAATGTGTTTTGAAGGAGGATAGTGAGAGGCGATGGATTTCTACAGGTCATTGTCTAACGACTTGTTTGTATCTCATGCTAGATCATAGTATACACATGTGTGATCAGTTAGTTGGCTGTGGCTGGATGCCAAGTGCCTACCAAGTTGCTCTATCACTCCTCTCCTCAGCAGTACAAGGAGGGGGGCAGAAAATACAGTGGAAAAAACTCGCGGGTCAAGATAGAAGCAGTTTAATAAAGCAAAAACAAAGGCTGCTTACGGAAGCAAAGGAAAACAAAAGATTGATTCCATACTTCCCATGAGCAGTTGATGTCCAGCCACTTTCCAGAAGTAGGACCTCAGTATGATTAGCAGTTGATATGGAAGCAAACATCGTAATAATGAATAAACACACACACACACACACTCCTTTCCCTTAGATTTATTGCTGAGCAGGTGTTGAATGGTATGGAATATCCCTTTGTTCATTTCTGGTCAGCCGTTCTGGCAGATCTTACCCACCTCTGGCCTGCTGGTGAGTTACATCCTTCCTTCAGGCAGTTGTGGAGAGTGATAAGGTCTCCCCTCAACCTCCTTTTCTCCAGGCTGAACAAGCCCTGTTCCCTCAGACACTCCTTGTGAGACTTGTCCCCTAGACCCTTCCCCATCTTTGTTGTCCTCTGGATGCACTCCAGCACCTCTGTGTCCTTGTAATGAGGGGCTCAAAACTAAACACAGTATTTGATGTGTGGCCTTTCCAGTGCTGAGTGTTTTTTGTCCATTTAAGATATGCAAGAGAGCAGTATGGAATTGCAGATACTTCTTTGATGATTATTGAATGATTATTTTCTAACAATTATTTTGGTAGGGACCAGGAAATTTCCCCCATACATCATGTGAATACTGTGCCATACCAAACATGAATTAACAGCCCATTTTATTTCACTTTCAACTGGAGTGCTTCTCTTCAGACAATGCTAGAGGAAGGGATCACAGCTGCCTGTTGGTTTGATTCTCAATGGCAGCATTTGCAGCTGTTTCTGAGCAGGAACTGTCCACTCCTTGCTGAAGCTGCAGTTTACTAATAAACTACATAAAGCAAAACAGTTGTGATTTTTTCCAGCAGGAAGGTAAAGCTGAAATGAAACCCGTTCAAGGTGCTTTTTCTGCTTCCTCAGCATAGTTAAGTGATTGTTTGGTGTGTTTAGAATGTTGAATAAAGATACCCTTAGTTTATGACTGCTGTGGTTTAATTTTTTATTTTTTATTTCCTTTTCCAAACCTTATACCAAATCTGTCCTTTCAGCAGACTCTTCACAAAATAACTTTATGTTGTTCCATACTGTCAGTCACTCCATGCCTTGTAGGGATGTCACTGACTGGTGTCACTTTGCATTTCAGGTGCTGCTTTTAGAATAAGTATCCTGTGTTAAGCTGAAAGATTTCAGTGGAAATTTGAGGTGCAACTGTATCAGAAAAATATTGCAGAAATATTACTTAATTTCTTTCACTCTCAAGGATACTCCCTTTATTCCACCTCTCATCATGGGCTGTGTTTTAAATGTTTATTTGCCTAGACTTCTTACAGTGTTAAACCTTCTAAGCATTTCATGCTATTGCTGAGATTTACTTGTAATCAACTGCTTTTTTATGATTCCATGTTGAGCTTCTGCCACACCACATCAGCTGGTCTTGAAAAGGTTCTCCACAGGCTTCTCTAAGCAGGGGTTGGGCGACACTTCTCTCCTCCTTCCTTTAGTTTCACATCTGAGTGATACTTTGAAGTTGGCCTCATGCAAATTGGGCCATCCCACACCTCACTTGGTATTTCAAAATTTAAATGGTGAAACAGTGGCTCAGATCTGTAAGATGTGGATTCCTGGTAGTCTCATCTCCTGCTCTTTATTTTTCTGGGTCTTCAATCCTTCTTGCACAGAGGTTTATGCTTCTGGTTATTCAATAATCATTATCCTTATTGACCTGCTCTTTTCCCTTCAAATACATGAAATGATGACTTGTTCACTTCAGTTTAATGACACTAATTATATTGCTCTTTCCCTCTGTTAGTATCTCACTCAGTGCTTGGCTTCAGCAGTCCTAGAAAAGCAAGTTCAGTATTATGTGACAGTTTGGGTTAGCTCACATAGTTTATGGGCTACTGAGGTCTGTTTGAACAGGAGGAAATAAATGGTTTTCAATTTGTTTTTTTAAACTTGTTTTTCTTTTAAATACCTATTATTCTCCTCTGCTTTAAAAACAAGCACTACTTGATGTAATGTTTGTCACCTGAGACAGCGCTACATATTTGGCCTATATTTTCCAGATTAACAGAACTGTTTCAGGATGCATCAAATATTTATAAATTATGGACTGGTTTTTTATGTTGATCAGACAAACTTCCATAATCTGTGGTAGTTCGTAGTCTTATCACATACTAAATGCTAAGTGCAGTTGAGCAGTGAGCACATCCTGTTTGGATACTGAGTTGTGCTCTGTGTTGTGCAGGGGGGAGGGCAAGAGGAAGCTTAAGTAAGTGTGAATTTCCTATTTTAATTATTATCAAATTTTCTTTGTATTTAAGAGTGGTGGTAGCCCCAAGAATACTGGAAAATTCCTAAATACTTTGGGATGTTGAGAGGAAGTTTAAAAGTACCCAAGTTAAAAAGTCATCTGTGTAGCTGAGGCTGGATTCACTGAAGCTGAAGTGTAGCAAACATCTACAAAGGCACTGACACAAGGAATGACTTATAGGGAAAAAAAAGTGAAGGCAGCTGACTTTTCAGAGTTTATTGATGATGATTTTTTCGTAATTCCAGTTTCTGAGTCTTGTTCTCCTTACCAGCTTAAGTTTTCCATTTCATTCTGTTCTTTCCCAGTCTTCCTTACAAATATTACTTTAGGATTTGAAAGTGTGTGATGTACAGTGTCAGCTGCACAGACCATGATAAAAGCCAAACCAAACCACCACCGAAACTGTCAACAACCTGACTTCCCAAAAGGCCAAGAGACTGCTCTTATGTGGATATCTTATTCTACTGAAAAGGAAAAGCTACAAACAGATCATGAAAAATCAGTGTGCTGGTTTTGTGCAAAGGGAAATACCTAGAGTCATGCCTGTGTACGAGCAGAGGCAATGCAGGTCCTGACACCTTGTTCTCTGAAGATGCACTGAGAGCTCTTCATCTCGCTTTTCTGCTGGAAGAGTTCCTGTCTATACCTTTTTAAAAGTGTGCTTTTGCTAACAAGCAAAGACTTCCGAAATGATGTGAGTCCCTGCTTTCAGAAAGAGAACAGGACTTTTCAAATGAAGCAGAAATGAGTACCTTCTCGGATAAATCCTGTTGGTATCTGTCTGCATAGATGAACAGATGTCTAGCTAATGCTAAATAATGCATGCATCTTGGATCACAGCTTCATTTGAGCTCAAAATGAATTGGCCAAGGACCTGTGAAAGTTTGCTCGGTAATTTTATGTCTATGGATGGTTCATTAATATTTCAGGTACTCTTCAGACTTTTTGAGTTGCTGTCTACATACTTCATGTTTCAAATTTGTTTTGTTAAAGTAATCAGATGCTGAAAGTTGCAAGTATCTCTTTCTGGTTTACTTAGCTGCTGCCACTTGATCAAAAATGTTAGCATAGCCAGCCGGAAATGGATTTCTACTCATTGCTATCTCTTCAGGGTGCCTGTAATTCCAATTTTCTCTTTACTAGCAGGAAAAGTCTGTGAGGAAAAAAAAAATAATTATTTTAAGTTGTGCTGGTTTGCTGTGCCTGCCTAACTTCAGGCAATTGGCTTATTCTGGAATTATTTCCTAGTTAATTATTCTAGATTTGTTTTTCTAGGATATTTTCTGTATTAAAATCTGCTTTCAAATTAGGAATTACTAATTGTAAGAATCAAAAGTTGAGTATTATGATACCAGGGCTGCCCTACTCTGTGCTCTTCATTATAGTCTAGAATGGGCTTTATTAATTTGTTGCACATCTTATCACTTATGACATGAAGCATTCAGAAAATCTTCTGCATAGAGGTGGTCAGCTGTGTAACTGAAATAATAATTTACACTGAGATGT